CCGCGTGCTGGTTTTCTGGGAACTCCAGTAGCCTCTTTTCCAACTCGTTAGCCATGTATATAGCAAAGCTCGAATTAGCATTAGCGTCTAGAGGATTCAGGTCCTGCAATGTCATCTCCACCTCCTGGAAAACCTGCCAAACTTTTTCAGTCAAAGACTTGCTAATTCTTCTTCCGTCTTCGGTGTACGCATATCCAGCCATTCTGTTATTAAAACAACATTTTTAAGATATTAATTTTTACTTAGCAATAAGATATGCGATCGGCAATGTTGCCACAACATGGACTGAAACGATCTATGCAGTTTTGTGCAGTGTAATTTTATAACAAAATTGCACGCAAATTTAAGAATTTAATAATTTCCTTATTTAAAAGATTGGTATTTCTTATGTAATAAACATTTATCATTCAAAATATGAAGAGGCGATATCATCGGGTGGGCAATCATTCTTGAATTAATTTCAGACTTCGCAAACTCCACGAGGGCACATAACAATTACAAACATTTTGTTACATGCAACTTGTCAGATGATGGCGACCTTACCTGTCCAATAAAACGTAGGGGTCGAGTAGATCATGTTCTTTTGCAACTTCAAACACAGCATTTCCATGGGACCCATGGAGCCAGTTGGCACCAAGTTCAATAAGGGCGGAATTCCCCTGGTATTCTCCGAATCCATGAGTATTTATCCTCCCACCAATTCTGCCGATGTTTTTAATTAAAGTTATAACAAATTTAAAATGTGCTACTGCTAAATTATTATCGCGACACAAAATATAAATAATTTATAATACCCAAAGCCCAAAAAGCCACTTTGCGTATTATAATGCGAACCAAACAAACTAAAAAAAAAAATAATGTATGGGTGATTAAACTTGTACCGGTCACTGGCCTCCAGAATGACGACGTCCGTGAAGCCGGACCTGATGAGGTGCTCGGCTGCCGACAGTCCAGCCATCCCGGCCCCCACTATAACTACACTGCCTCTCATAGACATCTTCTAAAGTAAACTCTCAAATCTATAAATAAAAAAATATGAATTCGTAAAATCATCAAACGTTTTCTAATCATAGTTTTTCTTGCACCAAGCAATTCGTTTAAGTTGACTTTTTGGAAAATAAGTAAAGATTACATTGATTTTAAGGTCATAAAAATTTAGGGCCTAGATCAGTTATTTTTAAAGTTGCTTTTATCATTTTATAATGCCTTTCCAGAAAAAAAAATCCCAACATATTATATTAATGTGAAAAAAAGATAAGCAGAATGTCAAAATGATGTACAATGTATTTTGTAAATCGGTGAATAAGATATACTACAGAAAGAGTGGGACACCCCGAGACCCCCACCTTTTTTTCAAATTTAAATAGTTTTGCTAATATATACAACAACAAAAATCAGTGCTACATTGTAATTCTTCCCTGATTTTGTCTGGGTTCAATTTAACTTAAGTACACGGGTACCCATGCGTCAGTCCAATGATCCAGTTCAAATCTATCTCTCTCTCTCATCTAATTCTTATATATATTCTTTATGTTATTCAGTTGAGTAAAGTTTTTTTTTAATGAAAATTTTAAAATTCTTACATACAATTTTTGCCTTTCTCTTTTTCAACCAAATATTAAAATATCTTTATCCTATATACCAAATGACAACTAATGCGGTATTTTTTCTTTCTTTGTATGAATTTAAAAAATAAGAGAAAAAAAGATAGTTGATCAATATGAATTATAGGTAAAAGAAATGTTTCATAAAAGATGCATGGTCCTAACAATAATTATATGTATGTCGGATGTCTTTTTTTTGCTTGTCTATAGATATTCCTACTGTTAGCCCCCACCCCCACCACCCCATTCACCACCACCCCCACGACCGCCACCACTGAATTTGCTTCGTATAGCCTACGGACCTGAAATAAAAGTTCAATGTCAATTTTAGAGGTCAACAATCTCGAAATATTTAAATGTCTTACAGTTGCCAAACTTCTATACTATTCCGTCTATATACGGTTTAAAAGTGAATAAACACATGTATGTATAAATATGAATTGGCTATTTTGACAGGGACGGCCAGTATATTTTTTTTTTTTTTTGATTTGAACATATTTTATTGTAATATAATTACAAAGGGATTGAGCACAAGTACTGAATACTTATAACGCCCTATATATGCCAGTATATTTTATATGCTAATCATATTCGTTACCTTTATCGTTACTGTATTGTGTAATATTATCGTGGTTCTTTTATATATTCAATCTACAAATCACTTGTCATGTCAATTGACATATTATTACAGCAGCCATACGTTTATAACTATAATATCCACCACATTCCGCGAAAAAAAAACTTGAATCCGCGTATGCATTGTAACCTTTGTTAACTCATATTCTCCTAGCACCACAAAGAATTAAATCCGCCCCTGTCATGCTATACCGTAATGCTCTCATATGATTTACTTCGCCATAGTTAATAAACTCACATTTATAGTGGAGTGAAATTTTATTATACGTAGGTAATCAATGCCGCGGCGTATCTCGATTGTCTTCATTGTGAAATTACAATATTCTAATAATATCCCCTTCAAACACATTTTTTCAAAGCAAGCCTTACAAGCGTAAAAATATAAATGATAATTACAACGTTTACCTGTTATAGACACATCACCTGATACTTGCACACGCCTCCTTTGGAGGGAATGTCCGTCTTGGCCAACAATCTATTTATAACAAAATTTATAATCTGCTTTTTGATTGGCTGAGAGCATCGCGTGAAAATAAGCAGATTTTTTTAGTGTGATGTTCGGGTTTCTGTATCTCTTTTTATTTATCAGATTTCTACTGGCAGCGGGTAAGGACATGTTCATAGATTATCATTATTATTATTATTAAAGAAAATAATGCAACATACCTCTTTTTACTTCATTGATATTTACAAATATATTATGTTATCGTGAAAAATATTAATTCAACTTTTCAAACATTAATTAACAAGACTGACGTAATCGTGTTTTTATGGCGAACGCATGCTTTTAGTTAAAATTTAGACACGTGTGCATATTCTAAACAAGAAATAAATTGTAATTGACATTTTAAATTAGAATGTTTGAGGAAAACGGTTACAAATAAAGTACTTTTCCTCTTATTTAACAGTCGCATAGGACGAGAGAGGTGGGGAAGGGGCCTCTTTTCCGTTTTTGAAAAGTTGCTGCATATGTTCATTAATATTGTTAATGCAGTATGAAAATGTTCATTGACACCCCCTTAAAAGATTTTTTTGAAGCATAGTTGTGTATGTTGCATATTATTTTTGAAATTGTGTTTTGGAGTTTTTATTTTGTTAGTTAAGCCTTGTCGTGTTGCTTGTCAAAGTTTTTCAGTACTTATTAAGTAATTGTCAATAATTTTTCCGTACACCATCTTCCCTTTTGAAATGACTTCTACTAATTATCTTAAATGTTCTTGATAAATTTTTAAATAATCCAGGCTAATTCTACTTCCGTCTTCTATAGGTAACATACAGATATTGATCAAGGTCAATCGCCCTGACGAATTTGATTGCTGACCACGGACATATTTTGAATTGAGAAGTGTTCTTGATATACAAGTAATACTAGTTCCTAGAAAAGTACATGCAAGTTCTTTTTTTATCTTTCTACCGTTTTACCAGTTTCAAAAAAAGTGTTTACATACATATTAAAAACTTTAATACAAATAACTTAATTTGAACGATGACCCCAATGTATTAGGCTTGTAGAACGCTCAGCTTGGGGATCCCACTTTTTGTGCGTGTAGTACCGTATTTCCATGTGCCGTCAAAAGTGCTGTGCTCTACATGCAAGAGCCGGAGACGATTTTAATTTTTTTTTGGGGGGGGGGGGCATCGTCGCAAACCACGGCCAAAATGTACGCTCCTCTCCCATCTGGAGAGAGCTATATATGCGGACTCCGGACCGTGGCTTGAGACGATGGGGGGGGGGATTCTCCCACTTTTGAAAATTTTGCTACAGGCTTTTTTTTTTATGTCATTCAGTTTCTCTCATATTTCTCCTAACGCAGAGATCTCAATACTGCTTATTGAGGCCAAGTTGTAAAGCTAGAAATAATTTCTCGCAAATTTTAAAATTTTTGTCAACAGAATCTGCGAATGGCGCCTAGGAATTTTGTGGGGGAACCCACAAAAGATGAGTTGGGGTCCGTGGATATAGAGGAGGAGGTACCGACCACGGAGCCAGCAGTTCGCCCTCGCCAGAAACTGGTGTGGAGAAACGTTATCTTGATGTCAGTTTTACATTTAGCATCCCTGTATGCTCTTACACTAATCCCAAAGTCACACCCTTTAACTTGGGTCTGGGGTAAGTTTTTTTCCATCCCTCTGAGTTTCCTTAACTCTACTACTGACGACTACCAGATTCACTGACAGACTTTAGATTACAGTCGGACCGCCCTCTTTACCATAAAATATTCACGTTAATTTTGTCCTGTCAAATCATTTTTCAGCCCTCTTCTATTACGTGGTCTCGGGTCTTGGAATCACGGCTGGAGCACACCGCCTGTGGGCCCACAAGTCGTACAAAGCCAGGGCGCCGCTCCGCTGTCTCTTAGCACTCATGAATGCTGCAGCGCTGCAGGTTTGGTTGATTCATTAACAGTTTAAAGTTACCTTCAAATTTTGAAGAGATACATGTATACTTAGTAACTTGGTTGACTTTTTTTTACAGAACGACATACTAGACTGGTCACGTGACCACCGAGTCCATCACAAATACTCAGAAACAGATGCTGATCCACACAACGCCAAGAGAGGTTTCTTTTTCGCCCACATCGGCTGGTTGCTGGTTAGAAAACATCCCAATGTCATGGAGAAAGGGAAGGGGCTCGACTTCTCTGATCTTTATGCGGACAAAATTGTCATGTTTCAAAGAAGGTATAAACATTTAAGCTCTTGGCTATGTAATTATAAATTATCATTTTTGGTTGTTCTACATTGTTAGCAAATAATATTATTAAGGAATCACTGTCTAGTTAGGAGGGTATGTCAGGGCATCAACAATAGTGGGAAACAGCGTTATTCACATTTTTTATTTGTTGGTTTCTTAGGAAAAATAACCATACACAACATTATTCTTATCATGATAATTAGTTTCGTCGGAACAATTTGTGTGAGTCGCCGCTGACTACAGCATAACGGGCGAAGCCCGTTATGCTTAAAATATGCCATGTTTCCCACTATTGTTGATGTCCCTGAGATACCCTCCTATAACTAGACAGTGATTCCTTAAATAACTCGGGTATAAGTGAGATAAAGATCCTTGCTGAAACAACTGAACTATCGGACAGCATGTTGAGGTAAAATATGTCTGTCTTCTAGTGTGTTAGTTAATAACTTTAAAATTTGTATTCCAGATTCTACCGACCGCTGGTCCTGCTGATGTGTTTTGTAGTGCCGTCAGTTGTTCCATGGTATTTCTGGGGAGAATCTCTGTGGAATTCTTATTTCATCGCTGCCATTTTGCGTTACTGTGTTCTCTTAAATGCCACATGGTCTGTGAACAGTTTTGCCCATTTATGGGGCACAAGACCCTATGATAAGCGGATTAACCCAGCTGAGAATTTGGGTGTGATTCTGAGTGCAGTGGGTGAGGGCTTCCATAACTACCATCACACTTTTCCCAGTGACTATTCCACCAGCGAGTATGGCTGGCATCTAAATGTAACCACAGTGTTCATTAACTGTATGTATTACTTAGGACAGGCGTACGACATGAAGAAAACCCCTGCCAAAGTGGTTCAAATGAGAAAACTTCGAACAGGGGACGGAAGTTTCCAGGCAAATAATAGTAGCTTGGGTTTTTTTGAATAAAGAAAAATGTGGTGGTGTTTCGACGAAATCTGATTTTGTCTCTTATTTGAATGGAATACACTTATCTATTCAAGAATGCGACATGAGTACAGTGTACATGTATATTAAAACTAATTAATAACTATGTTCGAAATAAAATTAAATAATTGTAAACTGACATAAAATAATATAGACTCGCCTTTTGAAGTGCATCGTCGGATACGGTTGATCTCATCTTTAAGTAAGTGGGTTTTCGACGATGCTTGAAGTGATGGTCTGAGCAGTTCTTTAATATTTTTAAATTGATTTTAAAAAACAAGGCTCTGGAATTTCTGGGTCGGAGGGGGTGGGGGCAAAACCGAAGACAACGAGATCGATGGATTATAAATAGAGTCTATATAGAATCTTGCAATTACCCGGAAAGGTGTGTCGTTCAGAAACAGTGTTATATTTTTATATCTTAAAAAGTGATGTAGAATTTGCATTTTTAAAAAATGCATTTGCTATTATAATTTTGTAGCAGCTGTCGATCGAAGGTCTGGATAGGCTTAGAACGCGGCGATCCTAGATCAGCCAAGAGACACAGCTTGAAATCAGCTATTTCTGGAGAATATAATACGTATAATATGTATATTTTTCAAAGAAGCTACAAATTGATCGCTTTTATATATCTCCTTTAAAATTTGCTATTATATGAATAAAAAAGAAAGAAAATTGCTCCCACAAATTGATTTGATGACTCATCAAAACCAAGCAGTGGGCTTAAATAACGGTAATCGGAGTTTGGAATGAAAGTTCACTGTTCGAAATATAAATGCAGGACTTAAGCAGTTTAATATTTCAAAATGCAAACATATTAAACAACACTGAAAGATATTCAATATATGTTTTAATCTTTTTAAATTCGTCTTTTTTTTGTCCATTAATTGAAATTAAGCAAATAAACTCGGAGCATGCAGGGTATGAAAAGCAAGGGTGTTTGTTTTAAAATTGTGAAACTGGTCCCGAGGTCAGGGGTTCTTGTGTTGAAACGGGAATCTATTGAATTCAACATACAGTAAAAATGCATTATTACTGTGAAAATGTTCTTCTCGGTGCTTGTGTATAAAGCAGACAAGCTAAATGCAAAGTAATGATGAGCAAGGGTGTTTCTGCCTAAATTGTGTTATTAAAGGCTCACCGGTTAACCGGTCAGATTGCCATTCAAGTTAACCGATTACTCGATCGGAACGATGGCAATCGGTTAGAAAATCTGTAATCGATTAGTCGGAAAAAATAGAAAATATATAAAGTTGAACCTAATTTTGTAAAAATAAATCTTTGCGTATACGTCAGCGTTTTTACAAATCCAAGTCATATCTTAGGAATAACCTTAGGACAAATCTTAGGAAAGTTTCATTAACATGCCTGCTGGATGTAATTAAGCTTCTCCGGATGGAGATCACGGGGTTATTGGCCATTTTGTGTTTTGAAGTGTTAATTACTATGAAAACACCATGTTGTTTATATGAATGTTCCGTAGTTCATTAATGATAATTAAATCACCATTGAGAACTGCGAATTTAAAATATGTTTGTTTTGTGCAGTTTTCTATCGATAAATTACTGAAAAAAAACATTGAAAATTAAGTAATTCATTAATTTCAGACAGACTGAATTTTAATTATGTTGAAAACGCAGAATGTATGTATACGAATGTGAAATCTGCTTTAGAAAAATATCATTGATTACTCAGGTATGATTCGTGGTTTTCTTAATTTTTCCCTTTTTATATTGAAACTTAAATAAAATATATTTATTAAAGACACGAATCAAGAAAAAAAATGATTTAACACTTATATTTTTAGTCATTGTATGTATGAATGGAACTATTTAGGAAAAAAAATAATGTACATCAAGAAAATGCGTATTTTGATACGGTTAACCAATTAATCGGTCGGAACGTCTTGCGGTTAACCGATTAGCAATTCTGTATATTCGATTGCCATCCCTAATATATGTATATATATATATACATCATAAGGACGGATGTGTCAGATTACTTGTTCCTTCATCCTTAGCGTGGCTCTAATCTTTTCTTTATATAAATGCATTAAAATTATTAGGTACCTGACTACATGCATATACTGTATTAGACGCATGATGTCCAGAAATCAAGGCCCCGTCCTTGATACACAAGTCATTAAATTATATAGATCCATTGACTTTTACTCCTCGATCCTTCTTTAAGGAAAGTCCATGGTTATTTATATAAACATCCCTCATAGCTCAAAGTCTATGAATAGTTCTGAATCGATTGGATGAGAAGCCAGAACGTATTACATGAAAATAGGTGGACACATGACTATGTGTATTAAAGCATCTCCTTTCGTATCTTCCGAAAATCCGTGATAGTTGTGAACCCAGACACTGATTCGCTAAACAGGTAAGAAAAAATTAATGCCTTCGTGATTACTTTATAAATAAGTCTTTCTTTTACTAAAATGTCGAAAAGACAATCGATTTACTAAGGATCCTGGGATTGCGTGCATAATATGCCTAAGTGACGATTCCACATGCTTGTCAAACATTACTATAGATGATTATAATATCTAAAAGCTCAAAGGATACTATATGTGAATTGTGAAAGTATTCATTTTCTAAAAGAATTAATTAATTTTACTTGAACTGCGTAGTAGTGATTATTTTATATATTCAGAGCTATTGCGTACCAGGAAAAATATAAATGTAATTTGTATTCTGACGTGTTTACCAAGCTCATCGGTCATATGATTATAAACTATAGGAATTTATTTGTCATAATCGGATGTCTGAACTTAAACCCCGCGGGATCTGCATCCCTACACTTTAATCTGTATAGCCATCAGAAGAAGTGCATCTACATAATGTGTACTAAATACGCAGTACTTAGTGTCATCAGAAAAACCTTGTTTACGCACTTTTGTAAAATGTTTCTCCCATAAATTGTAACTATCTGATGCAGATGCATGTGCTTGGTACTTAGTCTGTTATACTAAATTTTTAATCGTCATGTTACAGCTAAACTATATCAGTTTAAGTTTAATGTACAGTTGCCTTGAAATTGACCATGTATACCAATTTATTATTATTTCAATTTCACAAATAATTAAAACCCAGAAAATATATACACACCTCGGATGTTAAAATTTATTATTTCAATTTCACAAATATAATTAAAACCCAGAAAATATATACCATATATACATGCACAATACAGTAAAACTCGGTTATAACGAAGTCACTGGGACCTGGAAAATTACTTCGCTATATCCGTAATTCGCTGTATCCGTATAAGGAATTCGTTAAATTTTGTGTAGCTGGGGGTCCAAGTTAACTTCGCTTTATCAATGAATTGGCAATATCCGTATTCGTACTAAACGAGTTTTACTGTAGTATCTTAGGAGGAAACCCACTTTTCACAAATAAAAAAAAAAAAAATTGAAATTGAGATCCCTCGACTACAAATTCATTTGTTTCGTTTCAAGATTAAACTATCTTTTCAACTCTATACAATTGTTTTAACTTTTTTATGATTTATTATTTTACATAGTATCTCCTAACAGCTAGTAACCAAAGACTTTCATTACTAATTTTACCATACCGAGAAATCTCTTTAAAAAGCTGATTGCTGTTTTTCATGCATGTTAAAATACATGCATACATTTTAAAGAATATGTAGTTATGTGTTGTATACTAAAATCCAAGACAAGAAATAGAATCCAGGATAATTAACTGATTTTAAGGGGGATGGGGATGAAGGAGGTAAAGCTTGATTTAATGGATTATAATTATTAATTGGTACATATGGGTTAAACTATATAAAAACGCATTACTTTCAAATCTTAATATACATGCAATATTCATATTTTCGTGCAAATAAATACAGACATATTTGGGGGATTATCTTCAGTAAAAGTCCTCCACTGAAAAGATGCTTCAAAAAACTGTTAATATGGAATATAAGTTATAAGTTATATAAGATAAAATATAACGGGTGACAATAAATGTGACTGCAGGCAATAACCTCTACCAATGCATTGTCTGTTCGTTTACTTTTTCTCTGTATATCATAGCAAGGCAGTAATAATAAATGATATGGAGATCATCAATTTAGCGTATAATAAGCTGTCAAGAAGACGTGATCGGGTTTAGTAAGAGTACATAACATGGTCACAACGGGTCAAGCGACGGCAGGTTGTTATACATGTATACCTGACCTGAAAAGCAAGGATGGAAGAAAATTGAGGAATCATATTTTTTAATAGGCTAAAATAAAAATGGAAGTAGGAAATTTTTCTATCTTGTGATTGGTTATTAAGAAAATGACTTTGATAAAAATCACTCTGATTCTACACAGTGTTCATAAGTACTCTGAAAATGATATTTTAAGAATGCCGAAGTTCTTATTGACAACATTTATGTGACCTTCTGAGACCAGGTATTCAATTAAACTGTTGGGATTCCTATGGGTACTAATTGTTCTCCTTAATTAGTTGATTTGTTTTTATATTTATGTGAAGCAAAATTTATTTTTTTTTATAAAAGTATGTTTATGAGAAAAAGAAAACACTTGTTGTCCCTCCAATTCGACACTTATATATATCAAAGATGTGCATGTATTATCAATTTACAATAGTTAATTATTCTTTCATTCAATCTTCGATTCGATATATCCCTTTGAACTTCATATTAAAGATCTTTCACATCTGTTTTATAAATGCAGACGTTTTACTAACTATAGACAAAAGGGTCAACTAAAAACTATATTCAATTTGTATGACAAACGACATAGTCGTTTAAATTCAGCATTTCGTAAATTCTATGGTCGTTATAATGACCTTGTTAGCAAATAGATTTTGGCTTGTTTCAAGTTAGGCTTTCTAAAATTGAATTGGACAACGAAAAGTTCCGTCTACTTGAGCAGTACTTATATAGGGCCTATGTTTGGTGTGACCGGTCAACAGGGACGCTTACTCCCCTAGACAACTCATCCGACTTCAGGAATTTCCAGTGGTCCGTGTAAATTTATATATACCCTAATCACAATTTTGAATTGTTTAATTAATTTTTTGAGATCGATCACTGTTCAAATCACTATCTTCAAATTTTCATGGAGATAATATGAGTCAAATCACTATATTAATTTCAATTTTTCCATTCTGGGACAGTCAGTAAATTTTATTAAAGGACAGCCCAAGGGACAAAACTAGAAAATGAGCGGGTAGAGTGTGAAAAGAGAAAGTTGCGAGAAGAAAGAATTTTAAAACTTTTTAGTTATCAACTACTTATAATCTGGTGGTGCATAAATTGAACCTCTTGCTATATGAATGGAATACATTGGGTTTATTTCGGACTCCTTTCTCCTCCCATTCTTTATTTTTCTTTTCATTTGATATTTCTTTAATTTCTCCATCCCTTTTCTGTCTCGCCACTTTTCTCTTGTATTGCCTTCTCGTTAATTTCTGGATAACTTGATCGAGTCCAGAGATTATTTTAGTCGTGAAAATATAGGGCCTAATACTTTTAGTTAAACCAGCTTTATGACTGATGTCATGACTTTGCTCATGTTTCTTGTGAAACAAAGATATATCTATGACGTATATAATAATTATGACGTCATATTTCTTGTAAGCATTGTTGATCGTAGTTTTAAAAATTTTATAGGTCTAGAATATGGCACCCAGGAATGCTATACAGACAGAGGAAGAATCGCCTAGAGGTGTTGTGGAAGATGTACTTCTTTCGGACGAAGAAACGGAAAAGCGCAAACATGTTCAGATTGTTTGGAGAAACGTCATTTTGATGGTCCTTTTGCACGGTAGTGCGCTGTACGCTTTGACGCTCATACCAAAATCACACCCTTTTACATGGCTCTGGAGTAAGTATATATTGTATATTAGTTAATAAGAAAATTCAATTACACTATTAGTCTTAAAATTTTCATCGACAATAGGAGATGTTCATACAATGCCACCAAACTTTACACAGACTTTGCCACCCACACAATGAAAAACAAGGAATGGAATATCTTGATACAGTGACAGGACAAGCGTTTTTTATGCCCCCATAATCAAAGATTCCGGGGTAATCCCCGCCATGTAATTGTTGTCCTGTCCGTCCGTTTGTCTATTTGTTCTCAAAAACTTCAACTTTGTTCATAACTTTTGAGCGGGTGGGTCTATGGCTTTCATGTACTCAAGAGCTACACAAATTCACAGATGTATTCCTTGTGACAAGACCTTTCTTTGAGTACTACCAAAATTGACCTCTGGACCTTGGAGTTTGACCCACGTTTACAAAAAAATATCACACCTTGACCTTGGTCATAACTTTTGAACAGTTGGTGACAGGGCGTTCATACGTCACCTGTATGTCTTCATTGTGACAAGACCTTTCAGTGGATATGGATATTTTTGACCTTGACCTTAGCGTTTGACCCACTTTTTAAAAACTTTATCTTTGTCCAGAACTTTTGAACAGTTAGAACAAGGGCTTTCATATTTCGCAGGTGTATACCTTGTGACAAATCCTTCCTTTGAGCACCAAATATTTTGACTTTAGACCTTTGGAATTTGACATGCATTTGAGAAAATTCAACCCTCGCCATAAACTGACATACTGGGACATCCGCGTTTCACAAACACATGTTTTGTTTTGTCATGCCCCCGTAAACGAAGTTTCAGGGGTATATACTTTTTGCCCTGTCCTTCTGTCTGTCTGTCTAGCTGCCTGTTTGTCCGCAAAAATTTTAAACTTGTCCAGATTTGGGGGTAATCCCCGTATGTAATTTTTGTCCCGTCCGTCTAGCTCTCTGTCCGAAAAAACTTAAACCTTGTTCTTAACTTTTGACTGGGTGGGACTGTTGCTTTCATATTTTACAGGTGTATTCCTTGTGACAATACCTTTCTTTGGGTATCATCAAATTTGACCTCTTAACCTTCACCTTGGAGTTTGACACACTTTTACACCAAAATTCCATTTTTTTACTTTGGTATTAAAAAACTTTTGAACGGTTAGTAGTGCTGGGACTTTCAAACTTCACATTTGTATTTTTTGTGGCAAGATCTTCCATTGGATACCAACAACTTTGATCTTAACCTTGGAGATTGACATACTTTTAAAAAAAAAAAATTAACCTTGGCAATAACTTTTGAACGGTAAGGGCTAGGACTTTCTTACTTCACGTTTGTAATCCTTGTGACAGGCCCTTGCATTGGATACCAACAACTCTAACCTTTTGACATTAACCTTGGAGTTTGACCTTCTTTTAAATAACTTTAACCATGGTGATACTTTTTGAACGGTAAGGGCTAAGGCTTTCATACATCACATATGTATTCTTTGTGACAAGACCTTCCATTGGATACCAACAACTTTAACCTTTTGACCTTGACCTTGGAGATTAACCTATTTTTTAAAAAAAAACCTTAACCTTGCCTAATATCTTTTGAACGGTAAGAGGAAGGGCTCCCATACTTCACATATGTAATCCTAGTGATAATTAAGGCCTTTCTTTGGAAACTAACAACATTGACCCTTTGACCTTGACCCTGGAGTTTGGCGTAACTTGATAAAAAATGTTAACCATGGTCATAACTTTTGAAAAGGCTTTGCTAAGGTTTTATAATTCACATTTGTATTTATTGTGAGAAGGTCTTTGGGTATCAACATGTTTCATTTGTATTTGAGAAAATCTTACCTTCGCTATGTTGCCATACGGGTGCATCAATGTTTCACAAACACATCTTTTTTTTTTTTTTTAAATATCCTTGATTTTGATAATTTATTATTATTTACATGTAAACAATCATTTTCAGGTTTTGTCTACTATTTGTTTGCTGCATTGGGAATAACTGCAGGGGCGCATCGTCTTTGGGCCCACAAGTCGTACAGAGCCCGGGGTCCACTCCGGTTTTTCTTGGCACTGATGAATGCTGCCGCTTTTCAGGTGAGTTACATGTTTTGTAAGATTTTCTCAATCAGAGAGCTACATTTCTGCAGCTAAGTTGGCATATATATAAGGAGAGGTAGAAGATGATGAAAGGACTGATGGATGATGGTAAATGTCGGTCCCTGAACAATACATGTAACAACTTAACAAGTCTATCTTCTCTCATTTATTTGGCACTTGCTCTATTTAAAGAGTCTTTTAATATTTTAGAACGACATTCTAGATTGGTCACGTGACCACCGAGTCCATCACAAATACTCAGAAACAGATGCTGATCCACACAACGCCAAGAGAGGTTTCTTTTTCGCCCACATTGGCTGGCTGCTGGTCAGAAAACATCCCAATGTCATGGAGAAAGGGAAGGGGCTCGACTTCTCTGATCTTTATGCGGACAAAATTGTCATGTTTCAAAGAAGGTACCTTTCTGTGGTTGTTTTTAAATAAATGATAAATGTAAACGCATTTAATTTTAACAGTTTAAAATACAGAAAGTACGTGTATTACTGTAAAATCATTATCATTTTTTTTTCAGATTCTACATTCCTCTGATGATTTTACTGTGTTTCGTCATACCAACAGTTGTTCCCTGGTATTTCTGGGGAGAATCTCTGTGGAACGCATATTTTCTTGCCGCCATTTTACGTTACTGTATAGGACTTAATGCCACGTGGTCTGTGAACAGTTTCGCCCATTTATGGGGCACAAGACCCTATGATAAGCAGATTAATCCAGCCGAGAATTTGGGTGTGATTCTGAGTGCAGCGGGTGAGGGCTTCCATAACTACCATCACACTTTTCCCAGTGACTATTCCACCAGCGAGTTCGGCTGGCATCTAAATATAACCACAGTTTTCATTAACTGTATGTATTACTTAGGACAGGCGTACAACATGAAGAAAACCCCTGACAAAGTGGTCCAAATGAGAAAACTTCGAACAGGGGACGGAAGTCCTTAACAAAAACTAAACCTTTTTTTAAATTTATTTTGACCGTAGACTTTTATTGTTTCTTTCGTTATTTTTGAGAAAACTGTAAAAGATGTGTTGTGATAATTCCAATGTGGAATGTTTTATGTTACAAACTGAGTATTTTGTTATACTTTTATGCCAGTGATTTTTTTTTTAAGTTTTGAGTTGGAAAAAAAATCAAACAATAAAAATAAATTCATGAAATAAAATCGATATAATCCAAAGCCAGTATTGTATCAATTCTCTGAACCACAGCCCTGGATCATCTTAAAGTCTGCATCAGGAGGTGTGAATTCTTGCCTGTTAACAGTTGTCCACTAAGAATGTAGAGTTCTTCTCCAGAACAATTGATCCAATTTCCAACCATGCAAGCTGCCACATACCGGTACATGTAATTTTCTTGGTAAATTGAATGTAAGTTGATGAAAATGAAGGAGCGATATATAGTTGCCTCCCTTTCAAAGTAGAATAATAAATGAAAAGCAAAATAAGATGGGGTCGCTCAAAATCTTTACAGGAACAACTATATATTTGATTTGGTTTGAATTTCTTCAAATCATTGCTCTAGGTTGAGGGTGTGGCCATAATACAACCTGAATATGATCCTCTGAGAGCGGATCGAGGATTTTTAGTGTTGATTAGATTGGAATCATATATGTATATAAGAACATTTATATAGAAATATATAAATGAAATCTGGAAAAATCTTCAGAACAGCAGGGACCTAGCACTTGGCACGGGATGCTTTATTCTCTGTGGCAACTGATTCCATCTCTGATGTTTTAAGAGGTCCGCGTTTGCTCTGCTCCCGATTTGTACGTTTTCAATGGACTTTTGACTTAGATCAATGTTCGTTAGACTTCCATATATATTTCATTAATCATATTGAAATGTATGCAAGCATATTATTAAGCAGTGTATATGAAATTTATGTTTGTTTAAATCAAGGCCCCGAGGATAGGGTTGGATCTTATAAATAGCGTTTCAAAGTTTAAACATTATTATGGAGATTCTAGAGGAAACTTAATAGTACTGTCTTCCCACAATTTTTTATTAAAATAGAAAATTTGGTGTTATGACTATTTACACCAAATTTTCTATTTTAATAAAAAATTATTGGAAGACAGTACAATTCTCTGTTATCTTTGGACTTTCAGTAAGGCGTGGTATTCTCAACGTTACATAACAAACATTTGAAATTTACACAGGTTTCACACACTGTTGAAAATATTATATATGGTATAGAAATTCGGGTGAATGTCAACGAGTGTAGCAAATATCCAATAACAGCGTCTAGTACGGCAAATAGGTGGGGCTTTTAAACGTCGTCTCATCGTTGTCAACAACATTTAAAGTTCCTGATATTATTAATATCTTAACCAATGAGAATCTATTCGCCATTTTAGAGACGCTAATTACGTAGCGCCGAGAATGCCACGCCTCACTGAAAGTCCAAGGATGACAGAGAATTGTACTAATAATAATCTCAAGAGTAGCTGGTTGTGTATCATGCGCTCCCCAGTTGTGTAGTTCAGTTTCTTTTCAAATCATTGAACCCCCCCCACCCCCCACCCCCCCACCCCCGAATTAGAGTGGAACTAATAAATCAGCATTATCAAGAATTTTAAAGATTTACATAATGAAAATATACAGGAATATAAATCTTTTTCAGCAGGCCAACATGTTCTATAAAAATTGCAACATCACTAAATGTTGGGCGAGTTTGGTTACGTCCAGACCTCTTGAGGTAAGCATGGTTAAGATGATGCTTCAGTAAGAAAGTGGAATTTTTTTTCATTTAAATAGAGAGGTGGATTTGTGTGCTATGGGCCAAAAGATTGTTGTTTTCTCGTTCATCTCATTAAATTTGTTCCCAGTTTAATGTGACTTCTTTGCTCTTATAATATAGTCTATAATATTCACATATTTGGTAGCTGGGCGCTCTCAATTCACGCATAATCTCTAATTTGTTGGACAAGTCTAGTGTATAGTTTTGACCAATGTGTTTGTGAAACACTGATGCCCCCGTATGACAACATAGCGAAGCTTAAATTTTCACAAATGAAATACAAATCAAACATGTTGATGTCCAAAGTAATGCTTTCTCACAACAAATACAAAAAATATAGCACCACCCTTGCAAAAGTTATGGCCAAGGCATTTTTAAAACGTAGGTCAAACTCTGGGGTCAAGGTCAAAGGGTAAAAGTTGTTGGTTTCTAAAGATAGGCCTTGTCACAGAGATTACATATGGGAAGTATGAAAGCCGTAGCCCTAACCATTCAAAAGTTATTGCCAAGGTTAAAATTAAAGTTATTTTTTTTTTAAGTAGGGAAGACTCCAGGGTCAATGTCAAAGGGTCAAGCTAGTTGGTGGTATCCAGTGAAAGGTCTTTTCACAAAGATTACATATGTGAAAAAATGAAAGTCCTAGCCCTTACCGTTCAAAAGTTAAAGCAAATGTTACAAAGTGTGTCAAACTCCAAGGTTAAGGGGGATGTACGGCCACCTTTAGTGCAGCGAGAACAAAATGTAAACATTTCTTCAAATGGCTAAAGTACATTATATTTTGATCAAATTTTAAGTCTTTATGATAAAGATACAATAAATATGCATAACTGAATGCATGTTGTGCATATATAATCTATACTTTTGCAGAAAAATGCTTTTGATATGCTCCTTAGAACTGCGCAGCTACAGAATTTAGCAGAGCCTTAAAAAATCCAAAAAAATACGCAAACTGTGCATTAATGTTCTCTCTACAACCATTTGTTGAGAAAATGCCTAAATTTTGCACTTTTAAATGATAATTTCAAGTTCAAAACAAGGTATCGTTGTCTTCAAAAAGAGTGTAAAGAACAATGAAAGTAGTTCATTGATAGCAGCACGTGGTCTATTTTTAGCACAGAATTTTGTTTTCCAGACCTCTTCTTAATATGGAGGGACATAACCATCTTTAAACGTAAAAGAGAATTAGAGTTGCAAAATGTTTCAAATAATATGAACACTTTTAAAAGAGGAAATGTGTTATAGTGTGGCTTGAAGTAATTTATTTACTATTATTATCGAACAGTTGTTAAATAGTGTACGTATTGATATAAACTCTTTGATTCCAGGTAAGATAAAAAGAGCACCATCAAAGTTAAAAATTAAGAGTTTGTAAGTTTGCCACAGATAACTTAATATAATATCTATCAAAAGTTTAATTATCACCAATGAAACACAAAGAAATTAAACACATAAAATCGATATGAATGACCTTGTGTTAGTACCTACTAGTACGAGGGGTGATCAAAAAGTTCTCGAACTATCTCTTTATCTACAAAACCACAATTTAGATTAGAAACAAATTTGGGGCACACACAAGTTCTATAAATAGCATATGCTGAATAAAGTTTTGCTCACAATGTGAAAATGACGTCATTATGCAGGTACTTGTGACGAAAAATGGTTGTCTCAGTGGAACTCGTTCAACAAACGACTAAAATATTTATGGAATATCTTAAAAATGCCTCTTAAGTAGCGTATAAGAATTTGTTCATAGTTTATTAAGACAAATGACTTCCTAATAATTCAATCAATGATTGGATTGATCGTTTTAGTGAAGGAAGGCAGATGGTTGAATATGATACTTGTTATGTTGCCCGGTGAAAGCAAGTTTGAAAAAGGGTGTGTTTTTAATTAAGTAATAAGCTATCAAAGATCTCCAATTTACACTTTGAAAAATACTTGAATATTTCAACAATAATATAACTATCAAATACCTAAGATATCGTTTACTTTTTGATCACCCCCCCCCCCCCCCCCCATTACTCTGTCAAATAAACATTTACAATTTTTATTACAGCGGAGCAACATTTGAAAAGGAATAAAATCATTCAGAGTGGGTTAGGAGATTTAATGAATAAAAAACTTTTTTTCTATTTGCCCATTTTGTCAAAATTACAATTTTACAGAGAAAAGAAAAAAAAATCAACATAATTAAATATTTTATATTATCTTTAAAATGACGTTTGGTGGTCCTCTCAACTCTGGGAAAAATTATTGGGTCCGTATTTATAGGTGAGAAAAAAAATTCCTTAAAATTTAAACATATTTATTGACGGAAGAAAAAAAATCGTGTAATTGGATGTAAAATAAAATTTAGTCGGGCCATTTCTAGGCAGAAGATCGGGAGAGAGGGCAACCAAATATTTTTATAACAAATGGTCTTATAAGGCTAGTACAATGTTCCATCACATACTTAGTAATGCAAAATTTTTTAATCTTTGGCACTATTTTGAAAAAAGAACACAAGGCTTTTCGAGGGGGGGGGGGTAGCCTCTCATTTTTTTTGCGATGATAGACATAGCATATGCAATGGACCTTTCTTTACATTGTGCTTGCTTCTAAATTTCAAAGAAACAACTCAATATATTTTATCATGCTTCGTATGTTCAATGAGCGAGAGCTTACAACGTTGTCAACATAATGAGACATGATGCGTTTTTATGTCCAAACATTATTCCATACAATGTGTGGGTCATTGCAAACAATAAAGCTATTTATGTGAGGTGCCTGAAGGAAATCCTATAACTGCCTATTTTTTCTATCTAACTGCTAAACAAAATAGACATATATGTATCAACTTTTCGAATGTAAGACATGTAATTACAATTTGTTTTTCATGCAACGCATATTGTTTAACATTTTCAAATTAAATGCTAAGCATCCTCCTTGCAGTGCCCCATTTCAAAATAACTTCTATCGCCACAGGAAAAAGACCTGACGTAAACACATATGTTTAGGACATTTTTTATCTTTTTTCTTGAGTTTTAAAGAAACCAACAAATTATCAAGACTTGTTCCATGAAAAACTAGTGCTAATTGTAACGGGGACCGTTACAGATGTTCCCCAAACGCTCCCCAACTCCCTTTTGGTGCCATATTCCCTGTAAGCTTCATTAAATAAGACAACCTCTATGCATCTGAGATTTTAACAACATTAACAAAGAAGTGTACAAAAATCATTTAAACTTTAGCATTGCACGCGTGCACATGTGAATGCATTTGCGTCATGACCATATCATCTTGTCTACACAATCTATGTTTTTAATATACTGAATATTAAAGTATTTAATCCAAAATTATTTTAAAAAATACGCTCATTCAAGTGTATGTTTAATTTTACTCATTTCACGTGCACGCACGTGCATACATGAGCATGGTAACCATACCTTCTTGTAG